AAGGCCCTTCTGTTTCATTGCATTAAGTATGTCATGCCATTCTCTTCTGACATGTAGGGTTTCTTTCAAGAAGTCTGATGATAGCCTGATGGGTTTTCTCTTATAGGTGACCTTTTTCTCTCTAGTGCTCTTTAAAACTCTTTCCTTGTCCTTGATCTTTGCCATTTTAATTATTATGTGTCTTGGTGTTGTACTCCTTGGATCCTTTCTGTTTGGGGTTCTGTGTATTTCTGTGGTCTGTTCGATTATTTCCTTCCCCAGTTTAGGGAAGTTTTCAGCAATTATTTCTTCAAAGACACTTTCTATCCCTTTTCCTCTCTCTTCTTGTTCTGGTTCCCCTATAATACGGATATTGTTCCTTTTGGATTGGTCACACAGTTCTCTTAATATTGTTTCATTCCTGGAGATCCTTTTCTCTCTCTCTCTATGTTAGCTTCTATGTGTTCCTCTTCTCTGGTTTTTATTCCATCAATGGCCTCTTGCATCTTATCCATTCTGATTATAAATCCTTCCAGAGTTTGTTTCTCTTCTGTAATCTCTTTCCTGGCATCTGTGATCTCCCTCCGGACTTCATCCCATTGCTCTTGCATATTTCTCTGCAACTCTGTTGGTATGTTTATGATTTTTATTTTGAATTCTTTGTCAGGAAGACTGGTTAGGTCTGTCTCCTTCTCTGGTGTTGCCTCTGTGATCTTGTTTTGCCTGTAATTTTGCCTTTTCATGTTGATAGAAATAGTTTGCAGAGCTGCAATGAGTGATGGCTGGAAGAACTTCCCTTCTTGTTGGTTTGTGGCCTTCCTCTCCTGGGAGAACAGCGACCTCTAGTGGCTTGTGCTAGGCAGGTGCATGCAGACAGGGCTTCTGCTTCCTGCCCAGTTGCTATGGAGTTTATGTCCGCTGTTGCTGTGGGCATGGCCTGGCTCAGGCTGCCTCTCCAAAATGGTGGAGCCGCTTTGGAGGGGGAGTGGCCAGGAGGCTATTTATCTCCATAAGGGGCCTCCGTGCTCCCTGCTGCCCGGAGGGTTAGAATGCCCAGAGATCCCCAGATTCCCTACCTCTGGACTAAGTGTCCCGCCCTGCCCCTTTAAGGCTTCCAAAAAGCACTCGCCAAAACAAAACAACAACAACAACAACAACAAAAAATGGCCGCTCGCTTTTCTTTGTTCTCCGGTGCCAGCCTCAGGCACCCACTCTCCGGTCTTGGTGCCCTGTTCCCCTAGTATTGGGGTCCCTGTCCCTTTAAGACTTCCAAAAAGCCCTCACCAAAAAAAAGTAAAAAAATTAAAAAATTAAAAAAAATGGCCGCTTGCTTTTCTTTGTTCTCCAGTGCCGGCCTCCGGTACCCACTCACCAGTCTTGCTGCCCTGTTTCCCTAGTATCCAGCACCCCATGCATGCACTGTGTCTGCACTCTGGTCCGGATGGCTGGGGCTGGGTGTTCAGCAGTCCTGGGCTCCCTCTCCTTCCCCGCTCAGACTCCTGTCCTCCTGCCGTGAGCTAGGGGGAGGGCGCTTGTGTCCCGCCAGGCCGGGGCTTGTATCTGACCCACTTCACGAGGCGCTGGGTTCTCACAGGTGTGGATGTGGTCTGGCTGGTGTCCTGTGTCCTTTGGTCTCTATTCTAAGAAGAGTTGTCTTTGTTATATTTTCATAGATATATGTGGTTTTGGGAGGAGATTTCTGCTGCTCTACTCATGCCACCATCTTGGCTCCGCCTCCATTTCTCACTATCTTAGAAAGGTAATTTTTCCATTTTATGTAAAACTAATTTAGAAGCAATACAAACTATGTTAGCATAATGCATAAGTGCATGAACTCTGGAGTCACTCTGCAAAGGTTTGAATCCCTGCCCTGCCTCTTACTAGTTATATGAACACTTTAAGTTAATTAATCTCTGTGCCTTGGTTTCTTCCTCTATAAAATAGGAATAATAATAGTATCTCCATCATAGGTTTGTTGTGAGGATTAAATGAGATGATAAAGTAGAAATACTTAGTACTCAGTAAAAATTAGCTATTATTGTTATTAAGTTAAATATTCGTTGCTCAGTTTTGATACACTAGAATATTAAGAATTCATAGCAAAATTTTAGGAATTTGCAAACAAAGCATGTGAAAGCCACAAACTATTGAATTGGAAAGATTAAACTAACCTTGAATGTTTGTTGAACTATAGTTTGCAGTGTAAATTAAAAGCATGGCAATGACCTCTTAATTCCTGTGGAGTCAGCATCTAATATAAGCAAGGTACACATACATTAAATGTTTGATTTCAAGATGATTGACCAGCTACTATGTAACTAGAGTTAGATAGATGTAGATATATATATAGCAAGAGTTTAAAGCCCTTAATTTTAATGATAGCAAAAAAATCACATTCTTATTCAGGTTATCACTTTCATACTTGCTTGCCCATAAACTTACTAATGCCCATCACAAATGAACAAATTCATAATTTGAGCTCATGTGCACACATTAGTAATTGTTGATGGATAATATTTGTGATATAAGCAATATACTTTCACTAATTATTTCTTATCCTACAATTGGTTTTTCTTTTCTACTGGTTGTATCACTAATTCTTCTTCAGTTTCCTCGATCTTATTTACCTCTGAATTTTTAGGATTTTCATATCAGTGAACTAAGCTGTATTTATTTTAGGTACCACAGAATGTTATAAAATTAGATGATTGCCCTTATAACAACTTAAAACATGTTGGGAATATAGAAAAACCACCAATAATTAGCTAGTGATGAGATTGTAAAAATAAATCACAATGATATTGTTCATATATAGACTTCATTCTCTTATTCATTCAATCAACAAATATTTATTGAGTGTCACTATGTGTCCCACATTCTGTTACAAGAGACACAAAACAGAGTTTGCTGTAGTTCTCTCAAAAGCTGCATGTTTATCTGGGTAGACAGACAACTGAACACACAACTGGAATAGTTGTGAAAAGTGCTATTCCAGAGCAAACACAGGTGCAAATGCCAGTCAATAGCTTGTAGTTATTTGAATAGAATAAGGTAGATTACTTGAGTGACTGAAATCCTTGAATCAAAGTGAGGCTAATCCAGGAAGATGTAAATGTTAAGTTTTAAACAATGTTTTGATGAAGAGGAGAGATGAAGGGCTAGAATTAGAGAAACTTACTTTTTTCCTTTTTTCTTTTTTTTGCATATTATCATAAACCCTTAGACAGTATTTAGAATCAGCTCTAATGAGCAATCCTCCCGTATCTTTTGGAAATGGTTTTTCATTTTTGCATTTTTACCCTTACTGCTTGTCTTCATTTGATTTATTCTCTCTTTTGTCTTTTCAGCAGTGAACATGGATTGAGTTTGTGCAAGGCAAAGCACTAAGCAAGAGAGACAAAGAGGTAAATACCCTTTCCACTGTCACCACACTTATTGCTGATCATCATGTTTGTTTAACTTCCCTTTGTCATGTTCTTTCAAGTTTGTTTCAACCATCTTATGGGTCTTTATCTTATCTGGAATTTTTTGTTCCTGTCTTCCTAGTTTCTTCATATCTGATGTTTGAACGGTTCCATGAACTTATTGAAGATAGTGTATATAATCCATTTTCTGTCTTTCTTTAGTAATCAGGATACATCCCAACTTATTATTTCCCCATTCACTTCTTTACCCCTTTCTCTCTGTTTTTATGACCACTCTACTCAGGCTTTTCTGTGAGCTTTCCAGTTATTTTGAATTTGAATCCTTGTGATCCCTTCCAGGCATGTAGTGATATGCATTTATATGCTATTTTTAAAGCACTCTCCCTTCTCCATTGTAGTTTTTTAAGCCTGAATTTTTTAAAGTTTATTTTATTTTTGTCATGTAATTGACTCACAGAAGAAAGGTTAATGTGAATGATCAAGGGCTGTTAATTTGTGGGTTAAAATGTGTTAAGCAGTTGATATGAAGTCTGTTTAAGTCAATTAGAGAGTATAATGAAGACGTTTCTAGAGTGTCATGGAACCTTTTGAAGTTAGCTTGGAATTCACTTGTGTATATCAACCATGCACCTGACCAAACATGTCACTACATTTAGGTTTTTAATTTGTGTACATTCCAATAGATATGAATATTTTTAAAAGTTTGACTCTATTACGAAGATTCTTATGTTTTGTTATAGGAAATAAATTAATGATTTCCTTCATTATTAGCAAAATGAGAAATGTAATTAGAAACACTGTTATCTTTTTACCTTCATATTTTTTTCCAAAAAGAAAAATACAACTGGACTGTGTAATCAACATAACATTTCTGGGTTTTTTTTGTTTATTAGTTTATATGCCTCATTGTTTTTAAAACTAGATTAGGGTCATTATCACAGATACTTTAAATACTAAGTACCTCATATAGAAAGGTAGCATTGATAAATACATGTAAAACTTAGAGTCTCATCTAAAGAAGTGATTTGTTTTCTGCCCCAAAATTATTTGAAGTAATATTATGAAAGATTTTCGTGTTAGTTAATATCTTCAAAAATTTCAGAATAGTTCATTTCATTATGCAGAGTTTAATGTTATTATGCTCAATTTCAATAGTTACAGATTTTTTTGTATAATGATAGCATTATTTAAGATGAATGAAGCATTGCAACTTCAACAGTTCAAATCCATGGAGATATGAAGGTAAAAATCAAATTTTTAAAAGTATTCTTCACATAGCATAAGGGGTTACTATAGTACTATTTTTTATTCCTTGTGTCAGTGTATTAGTAATGAACACATTTAGAATTTCAGCTTCTTCTTGCAACCTTTCAGTTTAATTAAATATTTAGAGACTGATGAAAACAAGTCTTATATGCTAAAGGAATTTCTGCAATGATGGATTAGTTGCCAAAATAATGAAACCACCTAGCTTAAAAAATATACTGAAGAATAGATGTTTTCTGAATATTCTTTCCACAAAATAATCATATTTTTAAAATATTTTAAGCAATTCATAGTATTACTTGTTAATCTACTGTAGAAGCAGCATGAGTGTAGTCTTTCATAGTTCATTAGCAATTTCTTTAATGAGTTTTTTGTGTGATAGATAGTTAAAGTAACAGACAAATGACAGATTGTTTGCCTTTAATGATTTCCCTGTTTCGAGCCCATTACAAAGCAATTAGAAATCTGACAGCATTTTCACTCTGCATTACTGATCATCTAAAGTGATGAGGAATGAGAGGTGATGAATATTAATTGTATATTTTCATATGATTATCATAAATTATTACCTTGTCTGATGTGCTGCAGGTGAAGCAGGAGCATTAGAGAAAGACAGATACATTAATTGAAAGTCTATATGATTTTTAAAATCTTTGTCTACATTGTAAAGCCTGATTTGTGATATTAGTCTTTATAAATATTAAATTAATTATCTTTAGCTTCTACCTACATTTGGGGTAACTTAAATAACTTTTCTTATTTCAGTACAAAAAAAAAGGAAAAATTTTTATTTCAGTATAAGAAAAGGAAAAGTTATTCCATGAAATACATATGTGTATTTCAGTTTAGAATTTTAAAAATCTGATTTGGAGAATGACAGTGAATTGTGTCTATATGCATATATATAATATTCAGGTATATCAATACAGAGAATGGTATATTTAGAAATAGGTCTTATGTTAATCTTAGGTTAAAGTCAAGTAATTCTGCAAAAGAAGTTGTAAGATAAAGTGTAACAAGATGTAAAAGAAGATTTTTCTAGGTCCTCTGTAAAAGTTCTTTTGGTCTTAGTCCATGGCATATGCTGTTTCCCAGTTTCTTGCTTCAGATTGATGAGGCTAAGCCTATCATCAGGACCCAAGTGCTGCTGTTACTTGGTTGCCAGCCTTACACTTGGAGCAAAGGTTGGTCTAGAAACTGAACAACAGTCTTCAGTGCAGGGAGAGGTGCAAGCTTAAACACTTGAAATGATAAGAAATACATTTGGATCAATTTTACCAAAATAAATTAAGTTGTATTTTGATACATCTCTAATTTTAGGTATTACTTGGTAATCAGTACATACTTGATGAATTGAGTTGAGTTTCATTGACTTATGAGATTGTATCTTGCTTAGTTCTGTCTTTTGGAACTCTTGATGTGGTTTGTTTGCTCTGTGGCCTACCATCTCTTAGAGAGGCATGCAATCCTGGGTCCATCTTTATTTATGAATGTCATAATCTTTATGATAATGTGATTATAAATCAATAAAAATAGATTTTTGCATGTTTATTAGAATTCTCCTTGTTTTAAATTCAATTTTATATGTTCCTATTTTATATATATTAAAAGTGAAAGTGCCAGGACTTCACAAATGAACTTTTTTGTGTTCTGGAACGTTGAGAAGAGCTTTCTGAAATTCATTGCATGTTTATTTAAGAAAAAGTTAGATATCATAATGATAGCAAATTATCAGTAAAAAGAGTTGAGGTTCTAGCATTTAGTAGCACAATTGAAAAATGTTTTTACTGGCTAAGCTTTCCAAATATATATTTTTTTATGTCTGATGACCTCCTCAGATTTTGTTCCACAGGGACCTCCTTCAGCTAGAGAGCAGGTCCACCTAGCCCTCTTTACATAATTACAATGGTGATTCCCAGGGCCCTCAACTCCTTTTTGCTGATATTCCTTATCTTAGTCTTAGTCTAGACTTTAATTTTATCCTTTCTACAACCCAACCAATTCTTTTCTTCTTTTTCCACTTCTAACATACCACCAACCAACATAGCTCCTTGACTTTTGGCCAAATCCCCACTTCTTCCTTTAGAGGAAATTGGTTTAAAAATCTTAAATAGTTTTCCTATAACAGATAACAGTTACCCACACCTTAATTCACAGAAACCTGGACTGTCCAACCATGGGACTGTTAGCAAATCAACAGCCCAGGTAACAAACACTCCTAACTTGTGAATTGTGAATAGTTGCCTCTTCTCTGATAACATGGAATCCCTAGAACAAATTCCCCCAAGTCTAAAATTTCTTTCTTAGTGTAGGATATAGAACTAAATACAAACAGATAAAGACTTATGCTTATCATAAACAAGCATTTTTACACATTATTATTATATATTTATATATATATTATTATATATTTCCTCATTTCATCTATGTAATAATCCTATAAGGTAGGTAAGGTGGATACTATTGTCATACACATGAGGAAATAAGACTGAGAAGTGACAGAGGCAAGATTTGAACTCAAGTCAGCTGGCTCCATATCTTCTGCATCTTCTGTCACAGTATCTTAGCTCCCATATATGAAAACATTTTCACTAAATGGCTAAAATTTTAGAAATAGAAGAACTTTAGAATTTCCCTGTTCTTACATTTCTCCCCACCTTGTTTTTAGACAGATACAGAAAATGAACCCAAGAAAGATTAGGATTTATCCCAGCTCAGGCCCAAACTAAAATCAGAACTTTAGAACTTTTTGGCCTACTTCTTGGTCCAGAACTTCTTGGTCGGGTAAATTATTGGTTATAGTCATGGCTTGGTGAATATAAATATTCTCCCCTTTTCTTACATTTTTTAGTTATAATTGAAATCAGTTATATTGGTGAAACTTTTTCATAGTGTAGGTATCTCCAAAAAACATTCTGGAATGTCCTAAGCTAAGCGTGGAAGTAAAGAATGTGACTGCCTTGTAAGTTGAGAGCAGAAAGGAAAAAGGTTGGCGGTAATTAATTCCTTCCATTTATATACTGATTCCCCAGTGCAAATAATGACTGAGGGACACTCTTCCCTCTCTAGCTTGGCAGTATCCCTGATTGACTGGTATTATGTAATCTTAGAAAGATAGTTAAAATGAAACAGTGACTTTTTTCCCCCCTAAGACATATAAATTATTATTTTAAATAGTAACAGGTTGGGAAAATAGGGATGTTAATTCCATAGTGAGGAACAGCAATTCTGGTCCAATAGGCAGCTTAGTTCAACATAGTGTCAGCTCTTGCCTGATTCTCTGACACAGACCGAATGTTTGATTTCATTTCCCAACTGGGGCCTCTTTCTATCATAGTTAAGCTTCTAACTTAGCCAGTTGGTCACATGACACAGAGGCTTCTCTCCTTGAAAGTTGGGTTTGTTTCTTTACTCCATACACTTGATCATTCTTTCATATCTCCCTTTTCTAACCAAACAATGGCTATTCTTCAAACTCTTCGACTTTTGAGTTTATATGTATATTTATATTTAAATACCACTCTGTTATTTATCATTTTGTCTAGTAATATAAGAGTCTTAATTCATTTACAAAACATTCTCTCTTCCCCTTCAAAATTTCTACCTAAGATGGGTTTATATCTTGTCCTTTGAAGTACCACTCAATTGAAGGAACAAGTCACTTTAGATCCCTGTAAAAAATAAAGGTCAAGTTGGAAAGCAAATAGATCCTC